CGTCATCGAGGCCATGCTGGAGGCGCCCTACAAGAAGGAGGAGGTGAGGGAATTCCGGGAATTCCGGGAATTCCGGGAATTCCGGGAATTCTGGGAATTTTGGGAATGGCTTTTCCCCTTTTTTCCCTTTTTTCCCTCGGTTTGGCTTCGTTTCCACCCAAAATTCACAATTTTGGGTCAATTTCACCCAATTTTCCCAATTTTTTCCCATTTTTTTCCCAATTTTTGACTCAATTTTTCCCAATTTTCCTCATTTTTGTTCCATTTTCCCCCAAAGTTTTCCAGTTTTCCCAATTTTTAGCTCCATTATTCCAAATTTTTCCCATTTTTTCCCAATTTTTGGCTCCATTTTTCCCAATTTTCCTCATTTTTCTTCTGTTTTTTCCCAATTTTTCCCATTTTTCCCCAATTTTTGACTCAATTTTTCCCAATTTTCCCATTTTTTGTTCCATTTTTCCCAATTTTTCCCAATTTTTGCTCCATTTTTCCCAATTTTTCCCAACTTTCCCCATTTTTCCCCAATTTTTGGCTTCGTTTTTCCCAATTTTCCCATTTTTTGTTCCATTTTTCCCAATTTTCCCATTTTTTGCTCCATTTTTCCCAACTTTCCCATTTTTTCCCCAATTTTTGGCTTCGTTTTTCCCAATTTTCCCCATTTTTTGTTCCATTTTTCCCAATTTTCCTCATTTTTCTTCCATTTTTTCCCAATTTTTCCCATTTTTCCCCAATTTTTGACTCAATTTTTCCCAATTTTCCTCATTTTTGTTCCATTTCCCCCCAAAGTTTTCCAGTTTTCCCAATTTTTGGCTCAATTTTCCCCAATTTTCCCCAATTTTTCTTCCGTTTTTTCCCAATTTTTCCCAATTTTCCCCAATTTTTTGCTCCATTTCTCCCAATTTTTGCCTCAACTTTTTGTTAATTTTTCTCCTTTTTACTTCGTTTTCCCCAAATTTCCCCATTTTTGGATCCAATTTTCCCAAATTTCCCCATTTTTCCCCATTTTTCCCTAAAATTTCCCCATTTTTCCCATTTTTTCCCAATTTTCCCCCAAATTTCCCCATTTTTGCCTCCAATTTTCTCAAATTTCCCCATTTTTCCCTAAAATTTCCCCATTTTTCCCCATTTTTTTCCCAATTTCCCCCAAATTTCCCCATTTTTGGATCCAATTTTCCCAAATCTCTTCAATTTTCCCCCAAATTTCCCCATTTTTGGATCCAATTTTCCCAAATTTCCCCATTTTTTTCCCAATTTTCCCAAATTTTCCCATTTTTCCCCCATTTTTCCCATTTTTTCCCCAATTTTCCCAATTTTTCCCAATTTTCCCAAATTTCCCCATTTTTTCCCCATTTTTGCCTCCAATTTTCCCAATTTTTCCCATTTTTTCCCCATTTTTCCAGGCCCAGCCCGGCCCTTCCAAGGCCCCAGCGGAGCCGGCCCCGGCCCAGGTGGGAATTCCGGGAATTCTGGGTGGGAATTTGGGGAATTCTGGGAAATTCCTGGGAATTCTGGGGGATTCTGGGAATTTTTGGGGAATTTTGGGATTTTTTGGGATTTTTTTTGGAATTTCTGGTGGGAATTTCGAGGAATTCCGGGAATTTCTGGGGAATTTTGGGAATTCTGGGTGGGAATTTTGGGGGAATTTTGGGATTTTTTGGGGGATTTTTGGGGGGAATTTTTTGGAATTTTCTGGGAATTTTTTTGGGAATTCTTTGGGAATTTTTGGGATTTTTGGGGGAATTTTGCGGGGAATTTTGGGGAATTTTTGGGGAATTTTGGGGTTTTTTGGGGGGAATTTTCTGGGAATTTTTTTGGGAATTTTCTGGGAATTTTTTGGGAATTCTTTGGGAATTTTTGGGATTTTTTGGGGAATTTTTAGGGAATTTTTGGGGGGGAATTTTTGGGATTTTTTGGGAGGAAATTTTGGGGATTTGAGGGGAATTTTGGGGGATTTTTGGGCAATTTTTAGGGAATTTTTTGGGAATTTTTTTGGGAATTTTTGGAATTTTTGGGGGAATTTTTTGGGAATTTTTGGGGGGAAATTTAGGGAATTTTTTTGGAATTTTTGGGATTTTTTGGGGAATTTTTTGGGGATTTTTGGGGGATTTTTGGGAATTTTTTGGGAATTTTCCGGAATTTTTCAGCAGGCGCCGCCGGAGGAGCCGAAGGAGCCCAAGAAGGAGAGCGGGAGCAGGTGAGGAAATCCTGGAATTCGGGGAATTCTGGGCCGGAATTCCAGGATTTTGGGGCATTTTGGCTCAGAATTCCCAGATTTTGGGTGAAAATTTCCAGATTTTGGGTGAGAATTCCAGGATTTTTTTGGAATTTGGGTCAGAATTCCGAGATTTTGGGGCATTTTGGCTCGGAATTCCTGGATTTTGGGTGAAAATTACCGAATTTTGGGTCAGAATTCTGGGATTTTTGGGAATTTGAGTCAGAATTCCAGGATTTTGGGGCATTTTGGCTCAGAATTCCCAGATTTTTGGTAAAAATTCCCAGATTTTGGGGGATTTTGGGTGAAAATTCCCAGATTTCGGGACGGAATTCCGGGATTTTTTGGGAATTTGGGTCGGAATTCCAAGATTTTGGGTGAAAATTCCCAGATTTGGGGTCAGAAATTCGGGGTTTTTTGGGAATTTGGGTCGGAATTCCAAGATTTTGGGTGAAAATTCCCAGATTTTGGGTCAGAATTCCAGGATTTTTGGGAATTTGGGTCGGAATTTTGGGATTCTGATTCACAATTCCCGGATTTCGGGTGGGAATTCCCAGATTTTGGGAATTTGGGGCGGGAATTTGGGGATTTTTCCCGGAATTTTCCGGAATTTACCGGAATTTACCGGAATTTTCCGGGGTTTCAGCAGCCGGAAGAAGCGGAGCCGGAGCCGGAGCCGCGAGCACAGACACAGGTGGGGAAATTCGGGAATTCTGGGGGAAATTCGGGAATTTTGGGGGGAAATTTGGGAATTCTGGGGAAAATTTGGGAATTTTGGGGGGAAATTTGGGAATTTTGGGGGAAATTTGGGGATTTTGGGGGAAATTCGGGAATTTTGGGGGGAAATTTGGGGATTTTGGGGGAAATTTGGGAATTTTGGGGGAAATTTGGGAATTTTGGGGGAAATTTGGGGGAAAATTTGGGAATTTTGGAGGGAATTTGGGGATTTTGGGGGGAAATTTGGGGATTTTTGGGGGGAATTCTGGGGGAAATTCGGGAATTCTGGGGAAATTTGGGAATTCTGGGAGAAAATTTGGGAATTCTGGGGGAAATTCGGGAATTCTGGGGGAATTTTGGGGAAAATTTGGGGATTTTTGGGGGAAATTTGGGAATTTTGGGGGAAATTTGGGAATTTTTTTG